GCACCTAACAACAACAGAGGAAAAAGACCAAGGTTCCCTGGTAGGGTGGTGGGTTATCCATTGGCTGCTATCCCAGAAGTCTGCAGTTCAAAACCACCAGCCACTTCTTGGGTGGGCGTGTGTTTGGGGCAGGGGGAGAAATGAGGCTTGCTATCTCAGCAAGGTTTACAGTCTGAGAAACCCACAGGGACACTTCTCCTTGGTCGCTGGAGGATTGCTACCAGTCAGAATCGACTTGATGGCAGCAAGTTGAAGAGAAGAGAGGCACTTCCGACCAACAAAATCTTGAGAAGAAGAGGTCTTAGGAGTTGTAAAATAATTTTGTGTATCTTTCTTTGAAGGCATTTTGTCCAATTCATGAACACAAAAACAACTTAGACCATGTCATCACCACGTATCCGCATTTCCATGGAATCAGCCTGCAGAGAGCAGCGCTGCAAATTGACCATATCACTGTCCACAGTTTGTATGGAAAGCGAGCCCCTGCAGGAATTTGTATCCACAACCTAGAATATTTCCAGTAGTTCCTTTATATTTCTGAAAGGAAATGAAAGCAAACAATTACAGGATTAAGGAAGCAAAAGACCAGACCATCCAGTCTTCTGGACATTCTGCTTTCTGAGAGTCCCGTTCCATTCAGCCACCATGAAATACTGCTTTGTCTGCTTGCCTGTGTCTTCGATACCAGGTAAACTAGCCTAGAGTGTTGGCAGATTTCCCTAGCTGCGCAAGAGGTATTAAGATTAGTGGATGCTGACCTGGGAACCAACGTGCAGCAAATTAAAGGGTTGCAGGCATGTTTTAGATGCCTGTTTACCAGCTTACTATGCAGCTCCTCCCACTGAGCAGGGGGTACAAAGGGAGGGTAAGTATTTTTCACAGACTCTGTGCTTTCTTTAATAAACGGAACTGGAAATTAAGTTGTAATGTTAGTGTTTGAGAGGAAACTTGATCTTAAAAGAATACTAGGTTTATATAACCTTTTATTGAATATCCTTATATAACATGTTGAATACCTTGAATGTATCTGGCAAGGATTTCCAAGTTCTGTAGAGGAAGATGAAAACAATTGTCTTATGAAGACAAGTACAAAAATTATAGCCCACGTTATGGTCCTATGTTTGTGATCATGTAACTATTCAGAGATACGCTTTGGGTTTTATAACATGGGTTTGAAAATAATCATTAGGTGGTGGATTAATTTATTATTGTAGTTACAAATACAAATATAACACAGGAAAGTTTGCTTAAGAATTTTGGGGTTCTTTATTACCGTTTTGGAAGTTCAATGAAACAACTTATTTATAAAACTAGTTACATTTGTATTAATGGGTTTTAGGTGATACTATTGTAAATTAATGCTTTTTTCTCCCTCCAGTAAAACATCCACTCTATATTTGTGGTAGGTAGTTTGAAGTAAAAATATATCTACTTATTATTTTTTTCGCTTTGGCTAAAATATTTTTGCCTTGGCAAATCAACATTTGTAATTTAGATTTTTCACTTAGTCGGTATAAGCATTATATTGCTGTCACACTGTATTTCAAGTGAATGACCCTTTTCCTCAGTAATTAGAATTTGTGAAATCGGGTGGAGAAGAATCTAATGTCATATTCTTTGTGCAGGTACTGAAGTAGGTATTTTATAGATTTCACATATAATCTTTCACATATAATCAGGTATAGCTATTATTAACTTTCTAAAATATACTTTGTTTAAAAGGGGGGAAGTAGAGTCAGTCATCTGATCCACAAAATTCCACCACCATTTCAGTCTCTTCCAGTGTCTACAAGAGTGCAAATTCATTTGTATTAACATACGTTCAGTAGACCAGATTGATTTCTATATCCCTGGCTTGATTTGGAAATTAAAGGACTTTGTTTCCTTGTCCTGCCACTTGGCCTGAGTTAAGCCTTTACTTCTCCCTACATAGTTGCTAAGCTCAAGTTTCTTCCCGGGATTTGCTTGTCTTATGTTTTGAATTGTGGATTTGTTTGTTTTTTTAATTGAGCATGACTGTGTGTGTGTGTGTGTGTGTGTGTGTGTGTCTGTGTGTCTGTGTGTGTGTGTGTTGTTGCCCAGCAACCTGAAAGTACATAGCTGGGGTGGGGGGTGGGGTGGGGAACCCCTTAAAGAGAAGCTCGGGTGTAAGATACCTATTGGAAAAAATGAGAGTTATTGAAGCAACGGGTTTATAACAGTGAGTGAAAAATGTTTTAGCCTTATTTGGTCTTTTGGATGACTTGTCTCTAGAATGTGAACACGTCTGTTTTGTTCTTCAAAGCCCCATCATCTGATCGGCCACAGCGTAGGTACCCAACAGTGAATTATTGGTTGATTGATTGAATGAGTGAATGACATTTTTCACTTGAATAAAAGATCTTTTTCCCGGGCAATTTTGATGTACTACTTAATTATATTATTGTCATTTTCTTATCAAATAGAGGGAACTTGGGCTAAGATGTATAATTTCTAATTGATTCTGATACTTGATATTAAAAAATCAAACCTCTGGAGACTTTTCCCTGCAGGGAAATCATCTGAAATTATCAAGCTTCTTATGTTATCTTACATGATGGGAGGAAGCGGTTTTCAATCTCAGAAAGACAACAACAACACTCTATTAAGCAATCAAAGTCCTTTGTCAGAAATGGTAACTTGTATATTTAAAAATTCCTTCATCTCTCTAGCATTTTTCAGCTGTAGTTGAAGAGCACATGATGTAAGGTAATGGAAATAATCAGAATCTTGGAAACTTTAGGAAAATTGAATAATTTGATACATACCTAAGTATAATTCTTCATTAAAAGTCAAATATTGATTTTAATAGTCTTCCAGAGAAACATCCAAAATAGAGGATTCAATAACTAAATAAAATATTAACATTGTTTATTAAAAGAACAAAACCAAATGCTGTTATTAAAGTGGAATGCTACATTTCATTTTTTAGCCTATATTTATATATTAATTCTATGGGGCTGTCCCTTAGTTTTTCTCAGATGGTTCTCCACCATAGGAAGTGCTTAATTATTTTCCCATTTATTCCAGTAATATCTATTTACTGCAAAATAAATAAGTAAATAATGTGAAAATGAGATAAATATGAGCAGTACAATGATGAGAAATACAATCTTCCTCTAGTTCCTAAAGGTTTCCTCCCCACTCCCACTACCATGACTTGAATTCTACCTTGCAAGTCTGGCTAGACCAGAGGAGGTACACTGGTACAGATAGGAACTGAAAATACAGGGAATCCGGGACGGATGAGCCCTATAGGACCAGTGGTGTGAGTGGCAAAACAGGGAGGGTAAAGGGAGAATGGGTAGGGAAGAGGGAACCGATTACATGGAACTGTGTGTGACCTCCTCCCTGGGGGACAGACAACCGAAAAGTGGATGAAGGGAGACGTCGGACGGGGCAAGATATGACAAAATACCCATTTATAAACTATCAAGGGCTCATGCGGGAGGGGGGAGCGGGGAGGGAGGGGAAAAATGAGGACCTAATGTCGGGGGTTTAAATGGAGAGAAAATGTTTTGAGAAACGATGTACAAATGCGCTTTACACAATTGATGTGTGTATGGATTGGGATAACAGTTGTATGAGCCCCTAATAAAATGTTAAAAAAAAAAAAAAAAATTAAAAATCACATATAATCTTACCCCTCGGGCGTAGCTATTATTAACATTCTAAAGTATACTTTTGATTCCGTGTATAGCAGTCACATCACATGTACTTGTGTGCATCTGTACAGAGCCTGGGAGTCAGAATCAACTCAATGGCAGTGAGTTTGATGGAATTTTTAAAAGATATGTTTCATTGATAATTTTATGGTGTTAATATATGTAATATATAATAATAATAAATATTTTTATTGTGTAAGCCCACTTGAGGGGAATGAATAACAGAACTGCAGATGAATGAATACATAGGATGGGGTAAGATATGACAATTGATAATACATATATCACATAACAATAAAGGTTTCCAGGGGGTAGGGGGGGGAGGGAAGGGATAAAGGGAGCCAAATCAAAGAGTTCAGGAAGAAAGTAAATATATTGAAACTGATGGTGGTAGCATTTGTACAATTATGCTTGATCTAATTGAAATACGGATTGTTACAATATCTGTAAGCGTTCCCAATAAAATTATTAGTTTAAAAAATTAATAATGATTATTTCATGAAAGATAAAAGTCAGTGAGACATAGACTTCTTTTTCCCAAAACTTTTGATGTAATTGTAAAATTGCCCTTTAGAAGCGTCATAAACCAAACCCAGCTCCACCACGGAGTCGGTTCAGACTCAAAGCACTCCTGAAGCGCCTCACCTCGCGCTGTGCGCAGGGCTTCCCTCCCGCTGAGCTGCCAGGGCTATTACGTTCCCTTTCCCTCAATCAACCCCCACCTAGATCTCATGAGTAATAACTAACCATCATGTTTATTTTCATTTCTTTAAATAATTTTTGAGGTTGGACATCTCACATAGTCTGCGTGAGTTGCCTGTTTTATAGACTTCGCTGGTTTTCTGTTGGAACGTTGGCCTGTGGATCTATAGACACTTTCCATAGTCCTCCTGAGAAACTCCAACTGCTCCCTGTGTTTGATGCCTTGCTGTCTTTTCTGTGGGTGTGTATAAAACATTGAAATGAAAGTGGGGTTGAGGACCTTGATTTTTATATATATCTTTTTCACATTAGTAGACATACCATTCTCAGAAATTTACAAAAGATAGCCAAACATATGCTGGACTTGTGTGTGTGTGTGTGTGTGTGTCCCTGTCCCACATCGTTTGAGGGGTGTTCCTCTGACGAATTCTGAAAGCAACATTGCAGCAGGCGTTCCACGGGGATAGAGGTGTTTTTCCGACTGCGGCTGCAGAATGGAGTCCCTTCAGGAACTTGCCACTTCGGTGTAGGACGTTGCCATCTGTACGACCTCATGTCTATGCCTATCCAGATGAGAAGTCTAACCTTGGCCTTCATTTTCTGGTCTGTTTTCAGAGTGTCCACGTGTTGGAGAGGGCTTCTTCCTCTGGCACGGAGCCCTCTGTAAGTCGGCAGTTGCTAGAACCAGAGCCGGTCCCTCTCTCCAAGGTCAGTGACGGAATATCATGCTTTCTCTGAAGCCCGACCGCCTGCTCTGGGTCCGATGCGAGCACAATGACCTTTACACCTGACTCTCTTTGCATAGCTGCGAAGCCTCCACCAGGCTTGGTCTTCCGGTTCTGTCTGGCCCCAGTAGGTAGGGTTTCTCTGCTTTGGGCCAGGAGGCAATCAATGAACGGAAATTTCATGGGCATTTTCAAGGTTACACAGCCAAAGCTCAAAATTCTCCTTGGGAAGAAAGAGACAAGAACCTATTGCCATTTTCTGTTGGAGAGCTTAGCAGATACTTATATGCAAAGCTAGCTCAATCCTACGGTAATAATAATAATAATAATGGCAGCTACCATGTACGGGCCAAGTACTATATACTAGGAACTGTCCCAAGTGTTTAACTCTGTTGTCTGATTTAATATGCTCCTCTGAACAGCCCCTTGCTGTTTACAAGTGTAGAAGACACCATTAGTCATGTTCTTTAAGTCAGCCAAGGCTGTGAAGTAGCAAAATGGGCATTTGAACTTAGATATGTTTCCCTCTACAGCCAGTGCTTTTAAGCTCTACATTACTTTGCTCTTTGTAGGACGAACAAATCATTAATTAAGAAAATGTTCCTTTGGAAAATGTGGAAGGCAGGGGTCCCTCCCTTCGCACTAAGGAAACCATCGAATGCATGTCTCTATAAAGCACACCATCGTAGAGGGAAAGGCTGAGGGAGCCGGGGATACTGACTGTCCTCCTCCTTCCCAGCCCCTCCCCTACTCCCTGAGAGATTTGACAGCCAGACCACCTTGTCAAGGAACTCCGAGAAAGCAGTGCAGGTCAACCTTCAGTTCAAATATATAAAAATCACACTGTATTTCCAAAGAAGGTTAACATCTTCTTATGGATAACTGGTTCTTCCAACTTTGCTTTTCCTATAGTAATATACTCTTTTAAGGGGGGAAAAAAACAAAAACGCCATCATACCCTCTCTTTTAGAAAATTTACCCTGTATCACAAGCCATGAAAATCATTCTCTCAGCTGGAAGAAGCTGTTAAACTAAAGAAAGGAGGTTATTAAACTCCAAAAAAATGGTTTGGAGAGAAACGAAAAATCATCTGATTCTTTCCATGTGAATAGATTAGTGTGTGACTTTCCTTGTGGACGGCAAATACAGAATTCTGGTGTGGGACTAGTACTCCCTTTGAACCTTCCATTATATCTTGCAGTTAGTTAAAGGAGGAGAGAATAAATAAACTTAAGGGAGAAGGTGACTAACAACTAATGTGCAGGCACTGGATTAGCACACGCATTCACTCACTTAGTGGGCATCCAGCTCAATAAGTGGATATCGATATGATTGTCATTTTACTGAGAAGGAATCAGAGACGTGGAGGATAAGTAAATTGCTCAGAGTCAGAGAGTTGGGAAGTGGGTGGCAATGACAATGGAAAGTAATAAAGATAGTGAGGGATACACAGAGAAGATGATTCAGAATTGTTCTCTATGAACAAAAATGTGTATCTGACTCAAACCAAATACTAACATTACCCCAAGGCTTCTAATGCTGCTTCTAGTGTAAGGAAATACAGGAAGTTGAAGGATTTTTAGTAGATTTTGAGGGTCCTTTGAAATTACCCTCCAAATATTTTGTTCCCCATTTTCAGAAAATGATTCCAGCATTCTTAAGATTGTTATGCACAGGGAATCCAGGATAGATAACACTCCCCCCTCCCCGCCCCCCAGGGCCAACAATGAAAGTACAGATACCAGAAGGATTAGGGGAGGGTGGGGGGAGAAAGGGGAAATCGATCACAAGAATCAATCTATAACCCCCTCCCAAGGGGAGGGGTGACGGAAGACGATGTAAGATATGAAAATAATAATCTATAACTTATCAAGGGTTCATGTGGGCGGGTGAGGGAGGGAGGGGGAAGAAATGGGGAGCTGATATCAGGGGCTCAGGTGCGAAGAGAATGCTTTGAAAATGATGATGGCGGCATATGTGCAAATGTGCTTGACACACTGGAGGAATGTATGGATTGTGATGAGACATGTAAGAGCTCCCAATAAAAGTATTTTTTAAAAAAGATTGTTATGTTGTTGGGCATGCATGAGATTGTTAGGAGTTGACAAAATGAAGCCCTGCTGTGACAGTAGTTATGTTTGAACCCATCTTTGGAAGCTGCTGTGTCTAACGGTCTTGTTGAGGGTCTTCTGTTTTTCTGACCCTCTATTTACCAAGCATAAGCCCTCGAGTCAAGTCCAACCGTGCCCCTGTAACACAAAGTTGAACTGAGCTCTAGGGTCTCCAAGGCTGTACCGTACACAAAGACAGACTGCTGCATCTTTTTCCTGCAGAGTAGCTGGTGGGTTTCAACAGCTACCTTCCTGTTAGAAGTTGAATGCTTAACCAGGGCACCACCAGGGCCCCTTTTTACTAAGCACAGAGGACAAGCATTTGAACATGATAGAAATGTAGAAGATTTTCTTTTGTCCTAGGGTGGGCTGTTTTCATTTCCTACCTTGTTCCATTATCGTCAGCATTTCTAATTGAAATAGGGGGAAGGTTGTTTGCTCGGGTTTTATCTTCTGCCTCTTTGTCTGGCTGACAGCTTATTTAAGGGTAAGGACTATATTAGAATTATTTTCCATTTCCCTTGCTGGGCTCTGAAAATATTGCATCTGCGAGGATAGAATTATTTGCTCAGAGCTGCTGCACGTATGCTTAAGGAAAGCATTTCTTTTCAGAAAGACACTTTAACTTTCAACATTTGAATTGGATCTCTCCGTTTCCTTTTGCAGTTAAACTTCTATAGAAGAAAAATAAACACTGTGATAGAAATCAGAACTATAGCACCAGAGGGACAACCTTTTATTACATTCCGAGTTTAATTAGAAAAAAAGTAGTGTTTCCATTTGCACAAGTATATTAGTCTTCATCTCATACACACACACACACACACACACACACACACACACACATACATTTTATGGATCCTAGCCTTCAAATAAGACCTAGCCAGAAATAAATGCTATTTTTCTAGAGATACTCTACATGTCTCAGGCCACTAAGTATGAAGTGCTGTTTTTTTTTAAAAAAAGAAAGAAAACCTGTTATCTCTAAGAACTGAAGGATTCCTAATGAATGTACTTACACATGTATGGAGTTTCATTTTAACTTCATTATTATGCAGAACTTTTAGAAAGAAATCTATAAAGATTAATCTTTTGTATAGAGTAATTGTTTATTTTTCTGATGTGAGTAGAAAGCCAAAAACATTGAACTTACTATAAAATTCTACCAGTTTCTTCTGCAATATTCATTAGCAAGGCTACTTGCAGAATTGCAATTCCACATTAAGCAATGAAAAATCAAAAGCCGTCCACTCTGCCTGCGCTTACAAAGTATTGTCCAAAAACTTAGTGTAGAGTCTAAAATGTATTGTTGCAAACATTCAAAAGAAACAGAGCAAAAATCACTGTATCTAATTCAACTGTTTTGACCAAATGGGTCATAGTTGCTGATGAATTGTCTCCATGTAGAAAACCCCTTCTTGGGCTGTTTTCTTATGGAAGGGAAATTTATAGACTCCATAATTAATGTAGCCAAATCAGCACCAATCTGAGTGTCTCTGTATGTAATTGAGTCATTAGCATCCCTCAGGGATGACCAAGGCAGTTTTGGGAGCTTTCCGGAGGGCAGGCCATACCTGCTATTAATCACACCCAGAGGAGGCAATGTCGAGCCGCGGCTCCTGGAAACCTGAAATTTCATGCAAAAGCCCCACCCCCTGACACGTGAACATAAATATATAGATTTGGCTTGTACTGAAGACAAACAGGATCAGAGAAGGAAAACACAGAAAGAGGCAGAGATGGTGAACACACAGCCTCTCAGAGCCCCCGTGGCCCCGCAGCCAACATCAGTAATGGGTTGTTGCACCTCTGCCTGAGTCTTCTTAGAGGCTTACAGTCCTTCGGCAGCCACAGTGTAGCCAGCCCCCCCCCCCCCTTGGGCAGCAGGGCCATCTGCCTTGAGATGAAATCCGTTGGCAGCAGTTCTCAACCTGTGGGTCGCGTCCCCTCTGGGGGTCGAATGACCCTTTCACAGGGGTTGCCCGGTTCATCACAGTAGCAAAATGACAGTGATGAAGTAGCAGTGAAAATAATTTTATGGCTGGGGGTCCCCACCACATGAGGAACTGTATGAAAGGGTCACGGCATGAGGAGGGTTGAGAACCACTGATCCAGAAGGAGCTGAACCTTGGTGTCCAAAATTTTCTTCCTTAGTGTCCTCGGTCCATCTTTCCAAGTGCAGACCCTGATCCACACTCCAGTCTCTGTCACCCTAGGGCCTGCTGTCAAATGTTGCCAACCTTCTCCGTCTTCTCAGCTTGGCCCGTGCTCTATCCAATCTTGTGTCCAAAGTTTGATCTCTGATTTGTCTTCACAGTTCAATCATTTGCCAAGTAGGACCTGCCATGATTCTCACCAAATTCCTACTCGGGCAGAATAAGAGAGGAAGGGAAAGACACCGGGTTCTTCATCTGGCTTATTCCTATACCTCCTTGAGATCTCAGAGTCCTTGGGAACTCTTACACGCACACTCAGACTCGGTGAGGGTCTCCTCTATAAGTTCCCCAAACCATCACTGTCTGTTGGTGCAAATCAAGGATTAAGAGCTTGGCTGTGTGAGTCCATCCAGCAGC